CACGTGGTTTGGTGACGTCACGTGGTTTGGTGACGTCACGTGGTTTGGTGACGTCACGTGGTTTGGTGACGTCACGTGGTTTGGTGACGTCACGTGGTTTGGTGACGTCACGTGGTTTGGTGATGTCACGTGGTTTGGTGACGTCATCCTGAGCCACCTGTCAGGAATGAAGCTGTTAGGATTGTCCCAGTAGCGTGGTAGCCTGTGCTGCACGTAAACACACGCCTGTATCTGAGCTCCCCTAGGAATGAGGTACTGGCCCACTGTAGTAGGGGCCGTGTTGGTGCGGTGTGAGACGGGCCCAGGAGGAAACAGCCTCATAGACTCAGCTATACAGGCGTTAAGATAAGGGATATCTCTGTACCAGGCAGGTGAGGAGAGATTAGCTTGTGTTATCTCCCTCACTAACCTCTCTCTGCTCTCTGCGTCCTCTAGAAGTAGAGCTATTGTGAATGCGAGGACGTTAGCTGCTGTGTCGTAACCTGCTATCAGGAACACTATGACGTCATCAACCATACCTTCTTCGTCACCATGGTTACAAGATATTATCATATCCAACATATCTTCTTTATCTTGACTTGCTCCCCTTGTAATTCTGTTGTGCAGTAACTGGCGACTATACTGTCTACTGACCCGCACTGCCTCACTCAGCTCCTTCTTTATCTGCCTGTCTAGAAAGGGAATATTGTTCCTCACTACAAAGAATGCTCGTTTAAATGCCGTGTTTAACATGGTGTGGAGGGAGTGTCTCACTTTACAACTAGTAACCATAGTAACGCTATCTGCTGAGTCACTAGTAACCTTAGTAACGCTATCTGTTGAGTCACTAGTAACCGCAGTAACGCTATCTACCCCGAATGCCAGGTGACTGATTATATCAAATGTTACTTGTTTGGACGCCTCCTCCATGTCCACTGCCCCAGTCTGTGTTGTGAGGGTGTCCACTAGCCGTGCAGTGTGTTCCTGTATCACTTCTACCCAGGAACTCTCGTGGAAGTTACTAAAGAATCTCCTGAAATTCCTGCGCTTGTGGGCCCATATAGCGGTGCCAGGCTCGTTGAAGATGCTGTTCAGTCCACAGATCCTGTGTCCCATACAGTAACCTAGGAATGGGTAGAGGAACTTCTCGTGAGGCTGGGAGAAGTAGGAGTGGAGGAAGTCACCATCCGTCAGACACACCTGAGAGAGAGACAACTAGTTTTATTTGGATAATTAAAATTATAATTCTAATTATTGGCCCAATAAAAACATTGATTTCAGGAAATAAAAACTTGCGAACAGAAGAACAGTTTGAAGGTTATAAAAAGCATATGTTTCCAACCTGCGGAGTGTTGTACAACCAGACTAAATAAAGTTGAGGGAACTGAATACTCCACTCCATTCTGAGCGAGTAAGCAGTCCCCTCCCTCCGCATAACCTTCAGGAGACTAGTCACGTGACCAGAGAAGAAGGAGACAGGAGGAGGTCCGGGGAGGTGGGAGTAGGAGGAGAGGAGGAGGAGGTGGGAGATAAGAGTCACTAGTAACCATAGTGATATTATCAGCAGTACAGTTACCAATCCAACTAACATGAAGACTAATAATAAGATAGCAGCAACTGGAGATACGAATAAGGTCCAAGAAAGTTGAGTAATAAACAAACCAGCACAAACAAAGGGGAGGGCAGTATACTGGTAGGTTTGGGAAGAGGACCATTGTTCAATAGTAAACTCAACAGTTACTTTATAAGTCCTGTAAGATTGAGGCTGAGTCACGTGACAAATCCTTTGTTACTTATGTCAGGCACGTGGTTACTTTGTATTGTTAGGCGTTGGATCCTACATAATTAAAAAGGTTTCATCATTACTTACCTAATATAACGGGACATGATATAGCGTTTATCCAAGTTCACTGGAAAACCTCAGTGGGACGTGATAGTGGACTCAGTTATTACTTTATTAGGTAGATGAGTAAAATTTGTCACTGATCTCATTTTCTCACGTAAAATGTAATATAGTAATCTAGTGGGCACTTCCAGTGGGCACCTCCAGTGGGCACCTCCAGTGGGCACCTCCAGTGGGCACCTCCAGTGGGCACTTCCAGTGGGCACCTCCAGCGGGCACCTGCAGCAGGCACCTCCAGTTATATGCAGTAAATTAGATCTCTTCTGGATTAAGTTTGGAACAAATTAACTAAGCTCTCTAGATTAAGCCAGCCGGCGTTCAAGTTTCAAATTACTTTCCAATCAGTGCTAGAATTTGTCAGCTGTTAACTGTTCTGTTTCTCCTCTTGGTTCCTTATACTCCTTATACTTATTTTACTCCTTGTTCTTCCTCATATCTTCACTTCTGAAGCTTACTTCTCCTTGGCTTGGTAGGACTTCCCAATTTAGTGCAGTTTATTGAGTCAAACGTTATAACTTCAAAGCAGATTTCTTCGATCAAGATTAGACATACGAACTTTTTTAATTAGGTATCTCAATTCATCTCTAATTTGGGTTTGTGGAAAAATAGTAATTATTATAAATCAGTACTAATTATGATTACCAGAGAGTATAATAAGATTCCTCAGACTTCCATCAGTGTTACTATCAGACTTGATACAGTAAAACCCCGATTTACCGCAAACCCCGATTTACCGTTGCCTTTTCATTTCTCCCAAACTCCGTGGTAAATCGGAGTATTACTGTTTAAGACGGATATTAGAATTATAGGGGCTTTATTAAGCAGGTTTATATGTCTAGAGAACTTGAGAAAACTGTTTTATTTTTGCTAAATTTCGCAATATATGACTTCTCTAAATCAACAGACAAGACTAGGTCTGGTATTATATATGGGTCCCAGCCATTATACTCAACTAGTCCGGGGACTACAGTATATCCTAGAGCTTAAGACTGTGAGAGCTGTACAAGCTTGTAACCATCTCGTACTCCGTCCCATGTGACACGTGATGTGACACGTGGTGGTTCAGCTGGTCACGTGGTGGTCCAGCTGGTCTCCAAATGGAGGAGAGAACAGAGCACAAGAGTGTTTTCAAGTGGTATTATTTACGTAGTAAAATTCTCTACCTTGCTTTACTCGGTTACTTTTGTTCAAGTACTACAGTGTTCACAATCATGTTTACCTGTGTTTACAGTATTTACAGTGTTTACAGTGTTCACAGTGTTTACAGTGTTCACAGTGTTTACAGTGTTCACAGTGTTCACAGTGTTCACAGTGTTTACAGTGTTTACAGTGTGTACAGTGTTCACAGTGTTTACAGTGTTTACAGTGTTCACAGTGTTTACAGTGTTTACAGTGTTTACAGTGTTTACAGTGTTCACAGTGTTCACAGTGTTCACAGTGTTCACAGTGTGTACAGTGTTCACAGTGTGTACAGTGTTCACAGTGTGTACAGTGTTCACAGTGTGTACAGTGTTCACAGTGTGTACAGTGTTCACAGTGTTTACAGTGTTCGCAGTGTTCACAGTGTTTACAGTGTTCGCAGTGTTCACAGTGTTTACAGTGTTTACAGTGCTCGCAGTGTTTTTAAAGGGGTGTGACCCTGTTATGTCACATGACAGTTTCACAGTATCTGCTATATCAACACAGGGCCATTAAAGAGCCACTAAAGTGTAAATAGTCATACCCTGACTACTGAGCCTATAACCACATTATTGCTTAGTTTTCGTTGTTAATATATATTGTGTTGTATTACACTTAGCAGGGGGCTGTACTGTTCCGGCACCTTATTAATTGGTACACTACACACTACACAGCTTACACTAGTTACATAATGTGTATCATTGTACCATGATACACGTTGTGTTATCTAGTGAAAAGTTACTGATATCTGTCCTAATATTTGATATGACAGTATACATTCACTAACTGCTTGTTTCAGTGCCCTTCATTCTTCAAACAGGACATCTGACCCACTCTGTGTGCAGTTTACAATTATCTGGTTATTCTCCTTCTAACACCACTACTGTCTCTCCGTACAATACTCATTATTAAAGTTAATCACAGCGTTTCAGTTTTGTAGTACTGTTAATCACTAGCAGTAAGCTCTCATCTGATTTTATGTCTCCTGAGCTTGCTAGTAAGGTACCTTGCTGTTAGACTAGCCGAAGTAAGGTACCCTGCTGTGGACTATTGTTTAGTTAATTGGTGAAACTTTTCCATACTAGGTTTAGTGTGAGAACAATTGCAAACCGTGCAGTTTACAATAATTCTACTTGTTACCTAGTACAATTATACAATATGTAGTAGTGTTACAAGTCAGGACTAGCCGCCCCATTTCGTCTACATATTATACCATGTAGTTATATATAATAGTACTATATAATATGTATTATATAGTACTATATAATATGTATTATATTGCTATTATTTCACTTCACGCCAGCTGAGCTATGAGGCTGCCTGTAGAAGAGAGAAATGCCCTTTTTACGAAGGGTTTTATGGCCGCTAGTAAGTCTGATGTTAACTTTATAACACTGAGTAGGCTGATCTATATTATAAACTACTTTTCATATATATATTTAATATTTAAAAACGGCTGACTATAAGAATGATGCTGTTTTTAGGTACCAGTTTGTGCGCATATTTAAATAAAACATGTAATCATATACATTATATTATGTAATAACAATAAATTCATTATAAATAGGACTTAACAACTTATAAATGACTCATGATTATTGGCTCGACTACGAATAGTTTTAAGTTAATTGTTAAAAATGAATTGCTGATGCGTGTCACACTTAACTCGCTAGCTTGTAAGTCCAATATAATGCGATCCATTATATGTACAACTACACATACAATACATAAGTATACCTTAGAAAGCATTGTTAATAGTATTACATAAGCTTAAGGTAACACAAACGATTAATTAATAAGTTACAAGGGGTCCGCTATTTTCTTATTTTACAATCTATTTGTGTACCCAACAAACCATCAACACCAGTTGTTAACCCCCATGAGTCAGTATTGAGTAACTATGTTACGGTATCTTAATCTAACAACTTGTGTATTTCAGAGGCGCTGATCAGCGAGAGAGATGAGCTATCAAGCGAACTAAGGGATCTTAAGGATAATGTGGACACTAAGATCAGTAGCCTAACTAAACAACACACCAACACAGTAGCTAATGTTACTGCCACTCTTACCAGCTCCCACCAGACCCACACCAAACAACGTGAGTAGGAAACTACTATTGCTTACTTTACAAATTGTTCATTTGGTTCCTGTTACTCGTAAAATATCGGTATAGTTTTTATTCTTTAGTGTAGGCCACTGAATAACACCACGAAGGGTGTTTGTCGTTGGTCAGTGTGGAAAATGTCAGATTTTAGTGTAGTTATCGGCGCTGTCATTGGTGGATTTGTAAGAGGTACACTGGTTACTACCTTCTGTCAAGGAGCAGAGTAGTCATTAGTGAACATACTACTAGTAACTAAGTAACCTGGTAACCTATTTTATCTAGAGGGTGTGGGAGGAGAGGCCCGAGAGGGGGTGGGATGAGGGGGTGGGAGGAGGGGGTGGGAGGAGAGGGGGGTGGGAGGAGGGGGTGGGAGGAGAGGGGGTTGGGAGGAGGAGGTGATCTACCTTATACATAGAAAGACGACGCTAACGTTTCTATTGATATAGACAATACATAGTGCGCGAAGTGTCTGTCTTTGTGTAAAATATATGGTTCTAACGCAGTGTACAGTGCGCAGTGTACAGTGTGCAGTGTGCGGTGCGCAGTGCGCAGTGTGCAGTGCGCAGTGTACAGTGTGCAGTGTACAGTGTGCAGTGTGCAGTGTACAGTGTGCAGTGTGCAGTGTACAGTGTGCAGTGTGCAGTGTGCAGTGTACAGTGTGCAGTGTACAGTGTGCAGTGTACAGTGTGCAGTTTACAGTGTGCAGTGTACAGTGTGCAGTGTACAGTGTGCAGTGTACAGTGTGCAGTGTGCAGTGTACAGTGTACAGTGTACAGTGTGCAGTGTGCAGTGTACAGTGTGCAGTGTACAGTGTGCAGTGTACAGTGTGCAGTGTACAGTGTGCAGTGTACAGTGTACAGTGCGCAGGGTGCAGTGTACAGTGTGCAGTGTGCAGTGTACAGTGTGTAGTGTGTATGGTTCCAACGCAGTGTACAGTGCGCAGTGTACAGTGCGCAGGGTGCAGTGTACAGTGCGCAGGATGCAGTGTGCAGTTCTTCTATGACGCAGTGGCGTAACGTTGCCTGTTGGCGCCCCCAACCCCCCTCGCCAAAAAAGCGCCCCCCTGTTGGTGCCCACTCCCCTGTTGGCGCCCTTCCCTAAAATTGAACAAATAAGGTGATTTCAGAGGATACGCCGGTAAAATCTCTAAAAAAGTGTGTTTCTAGAGCAAAACGCGCAGTCTTGCTAGTACCTCAGTTAAGTTTTTCAAAATTGTCCCACATTCAAACAACCACTCCCCCGCCTTGTGTAAGTTTAAACAAGCTTGCATATCAATCTCTCGTGGAGAATTAATATTCACTTTAATAAATCAAACTTGCCAATCTGTCAGCGCTTATTTAGTTATTATATACGTAGCAATAGGTGGTATATAATATTATATATATTTAGCACATTCTTCTCCCTAAGCTGAGGAATGTAAAGTGTATTACGTTACTCCCTTGGGAGTACTCTAGTAATCAGACGTACCTACGTACGTTGTTTAAATTTCTACAGTTTCTCTGTAACTACAGTTTGTGGAAATTTTGCTTTCAATCTCAATAGAGTATTTCATTACTGCGCCACTTGTTCTCTAAATTCAGTTTTTTAAATGCTTTTAAACTGAAATTGATTTTGAAGAACTACCGCTGGCATCAGGCCAGTGTCCCTTATGTAGTGACCAGTGACTAGTGACTAGTGACTAGTGACTAGTTACAAGCGACCAGTGACCAGTGACCAGTGACTAGTGACTAGTGACTAGTGACTAGTGACTAGTGACTAGTTACAAGTGACTAGTGGCTAGTTACAAGTGACTAGTGACTAGTTACAAGTGACTAGTGACTAGTGACTAGTGACTAATGACTAGTGACTAGTGACTAGTTACAAGTGACCAGTGACCAGTGACCAGTGACCGGTGACCAGTGACCAGTGACCAGTGACCAGTGACCAGTGACCAGTGACCAGTGACTACTAGTCACTACTGTGTATGTACACACTTCACAACATGCACTATACACTGTACCCAGTATAACACGTCCCACATTAGACCCAATGTGACCTATTGTGTTATTACCATTATCATGGCTCCTACTTGACACTACTAGTTGACACTACTCTCTGTTAACTGGTTTCCTCCTTTACTGTGTGTGCTCACATGTTAAATGCTCACTAGTTCTGGTAGTGTTCACCCCTCAAGTTTCTATTCGACATTGCATTGCTTTTTCCCCGTTTCTGTACGATATTTGCTATTTGTCACATATTATTATAGACATGAGTATAAATAGTGAGTACAAGTAGATCTCTAACTCAGCAAGCAGCACTTGAGTGTGCTCTGTAGTAATGCTAGATAGCACACTCAGCAAGCAGGGCAATAGCACCTGAGCGCCACTAGTCATCACAAGCAATTCACAGCACTCATCACACGCACAGCTACTATACCTGCTATCTCTGATATCTCTAATCTACCTTTAGGATGACTTGCAGCAGATCTGTGTAGTGTTCAACATATCATCTGTCTGATTAACAAACTCCTGCTAACTACACGTGTGGTTTATCTCCAGATATCACCACGTGACCTGCCTTAGTATCTCTGTTTCTATCAAATGAGTGCCTCTCATCTCCCCGAATGCCCTCTCTGAGAATGTTCAGCTACATTACGGGGGTGCTAAAGTGCGGCCTATTGAGTGTGAGCCAGCTTTGTGGGTTTTACAATAGTGTTAGGTATTTTCCAGCGGGGTGTCAAGACCTAGAGACTGCTAGCTTTATCAAAACAGACCGTACGTTTTAAAGCTTTTTCAAAGTTCTTGAATACCTTGTTATTACTACTATATAATACTGCTTGTTATTGAGAGAAGAGGGATGAGGAGGATCAGGAGGAGGGAGGATAGGGAGAATGAGGAGGAGGGAGGAGGGAAGGAGGGGGAGGGAGGGAGGAGGGGAGAAGTAAGGAGGGAAGTGGGATCATATTATGGGAGGTCTTAAAGAAACTGACCGCACATTCCTACGACTATTTATTAAAGACGGTGAAAATGAATCAGTAAAGTGCGATATCCTTGTGTCTAGTCAACAGTATACATTAGAATATATTATATACTCATTATATATAATACACTTGCAATGTGTAGCGAGTTGTAATACGGATCACTCAGTTATGACGGTTTATGTAGTTCCCACAACCTAACACCTTGCCTAATGGTCTGCAAATATATATCATGATCTTGGACCTACGTGGCGAGTTTGCTCCCTAACTAAACAAAAAATGTAGCTCCAACAGTCCGACGGCATTCCTTAAATATTTCTCCTTTTTCCTTAAATATCTTGACTTATATTGCATTTCAGTGAAAGACGGATACGAGACTACGATAGCCGATCTACGGAGTCAGGTTAGACTGAACTGTTTATTGAGTTGTTGCCCCTCCCCACCCGTCCAGTGCCCCCCCTCCTCCCTCCCCGTCCAGTGCCCCCCCCCCCCCCCCCCCCTCTAATGTAAGATTAGACTAATTTTATAGATTATCAGGGATCCTAGATGTACCATCCTGTGAATTGTGAAAGGATTTTAACATTTTAATTAAAACGATCAATGTTAATAATAAAAAACCTTTCGCATTTCGGATTCCGCCTAAGTAAACAAAAGTAAAAAGTGAAGGTCACTTCGACTTTATCGTTATTTATATAATAACACTGTATTCTAACCACCGTTTTTTATTACTTTTTCTAAACAACTTAATCCTTATCAAATCATTGCTTGAAATGACGGAATATATCAGTAGATTTTACGGCAGCCATTATCAGTATTACAAAATATACAACAATTACCTTGTCTCACTGTACTAATTATTAGTATTACTTAATCAGCAATAACACTAAATCCACTACTATATGCTCATAGATGTATACACTCGTTTGTAACTGGTAGCTAAACTACTAGTTGTAACAAGTAGTTGTAGTCGTAACTAGTAGCTAAACTACTAGTTTGTTAATACGAAGATCAAAGCGCCTGTACAGCTATTACTTTTGTCCGTTTCCAATATAACATGCTTTATATGCCTCACTATATATTAACTACCTGTACAGTGTACATGTTAGTTAGTTACTACTACAGTACCTGTATTACCATGTGCCTCACTGTTAGTTCCGTCTTACAATGTATTCTAAAAGCCAGCAAAGATAGTTTTATAAAGGGGGGGGGGGGGGGGGGGGGCACATTGTTTGCTATAGTAACTATAGCAACACGACGAGTGGAGAGTGTTGAGTTGTGGCCCCCCCGGCCTCATGCTTCATTGTAAGCATTCCTTGTGAAGACATAAAAGTTAGCTGTTAGTGCGCCTATCTAGTAGTGCTGAGTGCTCTGTCTTTACTAAAAATACAATAGGTTCAGGCTAACTTCATTAGAAGTAGTGAGATAATAACTTGAGTAATTAAACTGATTAGTTAATTAATTAATTAATTAGCACGTGTGTTATTAGTGTGATCATGTTATTGCTAGTGTTGCACCTGCACATTGTACACATGTTACAAGAATGTTTCCGTGGTTACATTAAAGCTACATTTCGATATTCGCAAACTTCCCACGTACCGTTTTGTAAGTAAGAAAGAAATTCAACGATTTAATTGGTTCTCTACAACTTATAAAATACTCTCTGTATATATTTCTGCTTGAATGCATATCATTTATTGTGAGGAGAATGAGCATGCATGATGTTTGGGATAAGTAAATTACAGGCCTCGATTGGAAAGAGCGCAAATTATCAAGCATCAATTTAGCTTGTTATTCGTGGCGACAATGCAGATAATATACGATAACAATCCAGATTGAGAGTATGAAATATGAATAATAACTATTGAGCTATTTCGCACGTGTGTGTGTGTAATGTGTATCATGTGTGTACTGTTGAGCCAGTTTTTACGTGTTTAGGGGATATGGTCCACTGAACGGAAGGGTGGTTGTTAATATAATAATTACTGTTAAAACAAGGGAACAAACTAAAGAAAAAGAATATCTAACCCGGACTAGATTGCCAAAATGCGAATATGGCGATTTGGTTCTACGTTTAGCTTATCTGCAATAATTTATAGTAAATAACAGAATGATAACCTTATTGTCTCCATCAGTTGTCTGTGATAGAAGATAAGCACTGTAACGAGATACACAACATACGAGATAAGCACTCAGAAGAGATAGCGACACTACACCGGGAGTATGAGGGTCAGAGAAACCAACTCATTGTCTCTCATCAACAGGACACCGCTAGAATGGAGGTCAGTTTACACGGGTGCTTTTTATAAGGTTAATCGTACAAGATCTTGTATTTACACCTTTTAGCCAAATAAAATTATGATGAAATTATTTGGATCTGTAGCTCAATATAATTTAGTTAGCTATCGTTCGTTCGTTCATTTGTTTGTTTGTTCGTTCATTTATTTGTTAGTTTGTTTGTCCGTTTATTCGTTCGTTTGTTTGTAACATAGTACACCTTTACTACTCTACTTCTGTCAGGGAACACAGCGGGCTCTTGAAGAACAGAACGATTATCTGGACAGCCAGATAAAAGAGAAGGAGGAGATAATGCAGATTGAAATACAGTCCCAAGTACAGGTACTGTATTAATAAAACAAATATTTAATAAAACAAATATTTATTTTTACGGCACAATCAAACAATTAAATATCAATAATAAATAAATCAGGGGAGGTTTGAAGAGGTTTCAAGTGCCGAAGGCCACTGCTTATCTTTAGGATTTGAGAGTGACCTGTGCTTGAAACCCCCTCAACCATCCACTACGTCAATATACTTGTTATACAAATATAGAAAAATATAATAATCTAAAATTACCTATTGGTTTAGTTTGGTGACATAGGAGAGCCCAGTTGAGTTTTAGTTTAGGTTTAGGTTTTAAATCATAGTTTAAAAGGTTAGCCATGTTTCATGGCAGAGAGAGATATCATGTGTGCAGAGCCGTACCGGATGTAGAATTTGAGATATAATATAAATTAGTTACCATGTATTAGGGTCATCTCGATTTTGGAGGGATAGTAAGTGCTTTTTAAGGTTAGATTTAATAATACCTGACGAGGCTGATAAGTCTGAATTCTTGGAAGAACCCGGGATTATTATCCCATCTTCATTAGCATCACATATTTCGAATACATAGGGGCTGAGGTCATTCCAAATTTTCGTAGAGGTGTACAAAAAGTTCTGTTGGGAGATATCTAACCTCAGTAATGGGACAATCAGACGAAGTTTTTCATTTCTAGGACAGAACTTGAAAAGATCTTTAATCGACTGGGGGACATCAAATTTAAGAATTTTGAATAGTTCCATAAATGTATGGTACATGTGCAGATTCTCCAGGTTCATAATTTTCTGCTCAGTGAATAGCGGTTTAGTGTGTTCAAGACAGTAGTTCTTGCTAGCCATATGTTCGTTATAAGTTCTTGAACGTGCACAGGTTAAATAGTATTCTTTATGATAAAAATTGGGAATGTTACCAAATAGCAGTCTTATACATCGTTTTTGAATTGCAAAGATTTTATTCAGCTTATGTTTAGGGATCCCACCCCAGCAACTTATACAATAGCTAAGATGTGACATAAAAAGGGCATTGTATAGTTTCAAATATTCAGATTTGGGAATGAATTTGCAAATTCTCTTAATCGATACAATACTGGAGTTCAGCTTTAAAGATAAATGATTAAGATGTGGTTCCCAGCTTAGCTGTTCGTCTATTATCACCCCAAGAAACTTTGTACATTGAACTTTTTCTAGCTTTTTGCCATCTATTAAAATCGTTAGATTCCTGTTAAAGGGCCGTGTTCTGGCACAGGTCTGTGTTGCTCTTGACAAACCTGGCTGAAAATGCATGTAACAACTTTTCCCTGCATTTATATGTAACTTGTTAGACTCCATATAGTTACTGACCTGTTTCATTACATGATTAGCTTTTTCAAAAGCTTCCTGTGCTGAACTACCTATCACAAAAATATTTGTATCATCAGCAAACAGGACGAATTCAGCCAAGCTTGAGGAGCTCACAATATCATTTATATAAATCAGAAATAGTAGAGGTCCTAACATTAGTAACTAACTAGTAACTAACAAGTACAGGTACTGTAGTAGTAACTAACTAGTAACTAACAGGTACAGGTACTGTAGTAGTAACTAACTAGTAACTAACAGGTACAGGTACTGTAGTAGTAACTAACTAGTAACTAACAGGTACAGGTACTGTAGTAGTAACTAACTAGTAACTAACAGGTACAGGTACTGTAGTAGTAACTAACTAACAGGTACCACCCTGGTACCACCCTAGTATGTACCAGCAATGTTGTGTATTATTGTAAAGCTGGGACCTTTATAAACACTAATTTGTTAAAAACTTTAAACAGCCTAATAGTCTGTTACTAGTAACTAGTTGCTAGGTAACCAGCTCTTTCTATACAGTAAGCTACTTCCGGCTCATTCACCTGTTATCTGGTCCCTATAACAACAACAACTTATTATATATAAACTATATAATATTAGTATATAGGTACTAATAACAATAACCTGCCGCACTAATACATGTAATTACACTATAACTCTGGTTTAGAGCAGGCCCTTACTGGGGCTGATAACAGGGCACCCTATAATACTAGTGGTTACTGGCTATACTCCCCTGTGTTACTGGTTACTGGCTATACTAGTGGTTACTGGCTATACTCCCCTGTGTTACTGGTTACTGGCTCCTTACTGGGGCTGATAACAGGGCACCCTATAATACTAGTGGTTACTGGCTATACTCCCCTGTGTTACTGGTTACTGGCTCCTTACTGGGGCGGATAACAGGGCACCCTATAATACTAGTGGTTACTGGCTGGCTATTAGTCTCTTTACTGCCCATTTCTACAACCCACTATTATACGTGTATTACATGTTCTCGGTTGTCATGGTAACTATAGAGGTAGTGAGCTAAGCTGCATGCTCACAAGCAGTATAATTACGATGAGAAAGTTACTCGACTTAGCGATAATATGTACTATTTTTATCTTAAATCTTTTCAAACAATCCATAATTATACAGATTTTATCCTAAACCAACCCAGATATACAAGGAGAAAACAAATATAGACCTATAAAGGTATCCAGTATTTTGTTATTTTCGAAACCTAAAAATATGTATTGTAGTAACTATTATGGTAACTAGTAACTATAGTATTGATGTAACACTGTAACACTGTAACACTGTAACACTGTAACACTGTAACACTGTAACACTGTAACACTGTAACACTGTAACACTGTAACTGCTGAAGTAATTGTGACGCTGGTGATTTTGTATTACAAAGAACCTCAAAAGTTAACTAATAGTACAGACAGAATAAATTTAATAAACCCTTTATTTCTATAATCTACTTTTTACATAAAATAACTCTAAATTATAGATTATTTTCTCACGGCACATAGCAGCAATTAAAAACCTGTCGTCACTCATTGAGCGATGAAAAGTTGAATAGTGCTCCCTAATTTTCTACTTCGGAGGAGATGAATTCTTTCGTTCCTGCAGCTTGCCCTTCTAAACTATATATATAGCCGGCGGTGGGGAACAGAGAGCATGCTTAGCTTAGCTAGCTTCATCTCGGGTTCAGACCTCGTACAAACTACACATATTCCGGGCTATTTCACAGTTTAGGAATGTAAACTGGTTCTATTAGATATCAACACCTAATTTCAATCAGTCTTAGTAGATATTGAAAATTTTCTAAAGAAACTAACAGAGTAACGGAGAGGCTAACAATTATTGGAATTTAAGAAACCTGTAGCCTATGATTCCGGAACGTTAATTATATTTCGTCCTCAAAGAAAAATATTATATAACTATAAAGCTTTGTTCTGTAAGTAATGCTGGGTGTAATTTCTATTACACTAGAATAAGAACATAGTATTTCACTAAATTGTGAGTTGTATTATTCTAAAAAAGTGTTTGTTTTCACTAAGTTTTGTTATTATATAGGAGCAAGTGCAGCGCTACTCTACAATAAACGCAGAGCTACAATCCTTACGAGACGTTATTGACATGAGAAACGCGGAGATTAAGAAGCTGAACACTAAAGCCAAAGAAATAGAATTAAAGGTACGTCATCAATTATTATTATTATATATATATATCGTTTTACGCTCGACTGTGTCTTTAATTGCAGCTATTGAGCTATAAATATAATAAAATGTATAATAATAATATAGTAGTTCGTCTTAATCTACCTAGTAACTATAGTAACTATATAATAGTAACTATAGTAACTATAGTAACTATAGTAACTATAGCAACTGGTTTTCTACTCAGGTGGAGAATATCCCTGGTCTAGAGAAGGACTTGCGGAGTTACAAGGACCACAACGAACAACTGCGCGCCACAATAGAGATGAAGGCTGAGTCTGAGCGAACCCTGAACCTCACACAGGAGACACTGTACCAGAATTTAAAAGAGAAGGAAACAGATAATAAAAACATTGTCCTCAAGTGTGAAGAACTACAATTCCGGGTAATGGAATGTCTTACTAATGGAATATCTTACTATATATAAAGCGAGACTTTACTGACACCACGACATCAATTTTTACACGACTTTCCGCGAAAACTGTGAGGGATATACCATTGCAACTTTTTTGGTTGGGTTGATGATGATAATGATTTTATAGCCTTTTGACCAGTATGAATAAATATAAAAATTGGCCAAGGAATAAGAACTTCAAGTCCTGAAATCTGAATCCGGTGTAAAAATCAGAAAATAAATAAATATTGTTGTCTCTTGGCACGACTTTGTGGTTAGTTAGTTGTAGTTCCTGTTGCTCACAAGATACTCTCACCAGTTGTCCCTGATTGAGGAGAAGGAAGGAGGAAGTAACGGGAAGATATTCGCGCCAATAAGCTACAGCACCCCTACCTGTAGCCCTAGAAGGCAGTTTTCCGAACCTCCTATCAGAACTTCTGATTCACCTTCTAAACATTCCAACAGGTTAATTCTTACTTATTTTAATTAATTAACTTATTAATTATTTTAATTAATTAACTAATTGGATAATAATCTGTTATTGATTTTATATGTAACAAGATACAATAAGGTTGATATATGATCGCTAAGATAACATATTTTAGAGTTGATACTACTGACACACAGAATCAGACTTTCTCTCGTACACGACAGACATCACTAGATTCAGGAACTTACCTTGTAAAAAGGAACTCTCTAAATGTGTTGAACGTGGGAGAGGATAACAAAATAGCTGATAAAATAATTAAAATCTCTAAAACAAGCGACACAATAAGAGATAGTCCAGTATGGATTGCGAGGAGGAGATGTTGTTCTGCCAACCAATCACACAGTACTGATAGAGTTTCTACTGATAAGAAAACTGCTGATAAAAGTACTTCAGATTACAAGTCTCCTACTTCTCGCTCCAGAGCTCTATGGTTTGTTCCCATCTCTAGAAAGGATGGAGTTGAGTTAACTGATAAAACCATGGATACACCCGTGAAGTCTACTTCAAATCCGCTCTCATCCAAATCAGAATCACATCTCTTATCATCAGACATTTCTACTTCTTCTAGCCGACAACCCATTCGCTCCTCACTCCGACTCAAGAAGCACAAGCTGAAGAACAACAAGTTCACATACTCCAAATACCTTGCTCAAAAAGACAGCTCTGAAACTGATTCCCTCACAAAGTCTAATGTTTGTCTGACTCCGGGGGCTGGCAATAACATGTTACCTGACAACGCTTTAATAACGTGTAATATAACCACCAAGGATAAACCGACGGAGGACTGCGAATCATTTGTAGATACTTATATTTCATTAGATGCTGCTGACATGGAGCTGAGGTCTGTTAAAAAAGACTGCGCCCAAAATACCACCCAAAATTTCACCAACACAGCTGATCCGGGTGATAAAATATCACCGGGTCCGGGCGATAGGCGGTCTTCTAGAGGTAAAAGTAAATCACCAGGCAACACCACTACTAGTAAATCACCAGGCAACACCACTACCAGTAAATCACCAGGCAACACCACAACCAGTAAATCACCAGGCAACACCATTACCAGTAAATCACCAGGCAACATTATTACCAGTAAATCACCAGGCAACACCATTACCAGTAAATCACCAGGCAACACCATTACCAGTAAATCACCAGGCAACACCATTACCAGTAAATCACCAGGCAACACCACTACCAGTAAATCACCAGGCAACACCATTACCAGTAAATCACCAGGCAACACCACTACCAGTAAATCACCAGGCAACACCACTACCAGTAAATCACCAGGCAACACCATTACCAGTAAATCACCAGGCAACACCACAACCAGTAAATCACCAGGCAACACCATTACCAGTAAATCACCAGGCAACACCACTACCAGTAAATCACCAGGCAACACCACTACCAGTAAATCACCAGGCAACACCACTAATACTACAGATTTGTTCATGAGGGTTTCTAACAGATTAAGTAGACGACTTAGTCTGACTAGGAAACACAAAAAACCGAGCATTCCTGTAGAGACATCTGCACAAACTGAGATCGAGAACTATTTATACGGTAAAGAGAGCAGCATTGAGGTGAACTACACCGACCTCAATTACACGGCTAACAACTACACCGCTAACAACTACACGGCTAACAACTACACGGCTAACAACTACACGGCTAACAACTACACGGCTAACAATTACACGGCTAACAACTACACGGCTAACAACTACACGGCTAACAACTACACGGCTAACAACTACACGGCTAACAACTACACGGCTAACAACTACACCGCATGATTCAAAATACAGATTGAAAATATTTAAGGGTACAAGCTTTATTGTGGGATAATTATTACCGAGTGAAATGTGGAAAGTTAAAAATTGTTAACAATTTCCGGTGGCAAGATTAATCTATTAGTCTATTTAATTCGATCAAGAATTGTATTTAATTGTTGTTTATCTGCTTTTATCAATTAAAAACTATCACTTTATTATATTATGACTGATAATTATTTCAGGCCGAAGTCTCAAGTCAATCTGTTCGATGCAATGGAAGCTGCCACTCAAATTCTACCCCTTCACGACTGAACGAAACGTTTCACATCTTTGCATGAACTGTTCGGTGTGTTTGTTGAACGAATAATAATTTAACTTTTGTTTGGTAATATTTGTATTGTATTAATAAAGTTGTGATGAGAATTGAGCTTGAGTTTAAACTTTGAATCACCTTGAAGATTTTGAAATATTTATTTCTTGCTTCTGTTAAGGTAATGAAAGAAGCCTCCTTCTTAAAAGTAGATTCTTAGATTGCTTATACTTGTACATTTTGCTATTTTAAATTTCAATAACAGATCATGCTTTTCGTTCGTTATCAAATTATTTGTGGAGTGGGATACAGCTGGTTCCCATCACTTGCTAGATAGGTTAGGGGCAGGATTTTGGCTGGGGTTCAGGTAATGGTAACGTTAACAACATAGTTTCTCCATGTGGGGGGTTTTTTTCTGTGTGGAGTGAGGAGTTATGATCGAAACAATCAACACCCCCACTTGTGGCCCGCTTGCCCCAAGCCGTTTTAAAATGGTTCAGTGTATGGGTTCGGTATATAATATGACTACAGCAGTTGCTATGAAGGTTAACCAGTAATATTACATCGTAAAGTAAACCATCTTAAGACGTTTTTACTAAAATTGTGGCGCAGCTTACCCCATCTATATTCTATATCTGACCTAAATACTTGCTCAATTCCCGATTATCGATTTCAACCATAGTTGTTGATAGCTTAAATCAGAATAAGTTAGAATTATACTGTTAACAGCTCGATAATAGTAAATTACGAAAAGGAGGCCGTGCCACAAAATCTGAGAAAACACCCGCTGCATCCTCCGGGTGAGTGGATAAATTATTAACTTAATGGAACGCGCCATTCTATCAAAATAGTCATTATGGCGTTCAAACCACGCTGCTGCGCGCGCCGCACTCAGTTCCGTTTCTATATAAATTAAAGGAGACACGGTGATTCATGATAGTCTGTTCACTATTCTGAAATAACACGCGATCACAACGGGTGGTGTAGTGTGTACTCTAACGACCTTTGATTTACCTTATCGGACATCATTTTGAACGGAAATTAAAATGAACTGTGGAAGACATTTGGGTGTTTCCCCCCAATTTTGGCGGATAATTTCACAATCGATTTTTAATACAGTAAGCAAGATAAGACATAAATATAATGCATTGCATTTATTAGAGCAAGATAAGAAAAGCGTTGCGAGCGGTAAGCATGCAAATGTTGATATAATTTAGTCCGATGGTTACAATTGACCAAAATTAAAAACTACTACTAGTCATATCTGATATCTTGGACAATAATACTTTTTGGAACAATTTCAACGGACTATGGACTTTGAATTTGACAGATTTTACTTGAAAGGACATTATGATTAAAATGAACGCTAGGGCCTCCAGCCGAGCGTCTAATTAATGTCCGTTCAAATAAAGTCCAGTAAGGTAATCATTTTATGATTTACCTGTGGACTCCTAGCTCACTTCAGGTGAACACTATATAAATACTAGTGAAGTCAATTCCGACATCGGGATTCCCTAATCCCGGGATCTCCCGACGAATTTCGGTCGGGAATTTCCGACCGGAAAATATTCTTGATTCCCGAATTTCGGGAATTTTCAATATTTGTATGCAAGATCTTACTAATCTTAGAATAAGATCTTAGAATATTCGAATGAATTTACTGCAATATAGTTACACGGGAGCGTTAATCAGGTTTTCGAACTTCGTAAACTGTTAGCCTGCATTGTTAAGGTTAAGAAAAACAAAAGTAAAACGCTATATGAGTTTCTAGACGAAACAAAAGGTTCATCCAGCAGTTCTGACTTCTGAATGCTAAAGCCAGCCAAAAAAAAGTACCAACACGTATCTCTATTAAAATGGAGGGGGAGATGCTGGTATTTATGGATGCTGCTATAAAAACGGTCCCGTCCTGATCGTTTGAGCCTGGACGGACCTTGTCAACAGCTGGTAGGACGCAGACAAAAGTCCGTTATACTTCGTTTTTAGACTGAACTTTAGTATAAAGGATTATCTCTCGAATGATCAAGACTGCATAGGAAACTGACCCTCAGAAGTCAAGTAATGATCGTTTCTAAATTAAAGCTTGGGTATGCTAAAATTTCACGCAAAATTGTCTACGCGCCAATAACTATGACACCCTGCTGTTGTTTGATGATGAGGCAAATTTAGTTGTACTATTGAACTTAAAAAGTATATAAGTACAACCATAAAATTAAAAGTTGGGTCATGCCCATGGCAATTTTTTTAAAGAGAGGCTGGGCCTGGTTGGCCCACGAGAGGATAGCATTAGCATGTGGATGCTTTGCCCACCTCTGGGGTATGGCAGTCCTGTGGAAGGATGCCGGTGGAATCAAGATGTGTAATCAAGGATGATGGTAAGTGTTGTGGGGTGTGTCATAGATGAACGCTTAAGTGGTGGTTGAGTGTGGAAGAGAGAGAGGCGAAATAAGACTGCGTTTGAGTAGTCGCTATGTTACACCGGTCTGGTCCAACTCCTCTGGCACCATTAAGTGTTCAGTGTGGTTTGCAAAGTTGACGATGGTGGAGATGTACGTTGGTTGTCGAATATGTCATTGACAGAGAGGTAGTAGTCCCGGAAATATTGACCTCTTATTTGGGCAATAGCCGGTCACTGTCCGAGAAAGTGTGGGACAGTCTCCTCTTCGTCGCCGCATTTAGGACAAGCACTTGTGTCTGATTTGCGAATGGTATGTAGGTGTTTGTTAATGCCATAATGTCCCGTGATGAGGTGCACTGCAATTCTGTAATTTTGTCTGTTGTTACTGAGTGTAGTGTTGGGATTTTTGATGATGTTGATGTTTTTGTGTCCAGTTTAGTGTGTCTGGGACCATCAGTAATCCATGATTCTTGATTAAGTTTGGTGACTTTGTCTTCGATCAGACGTTTGATGTAAGATTGTGGAATTGGGCAATTCAAAATGGATTCACTGGTTGTGCCAATTTTGGCCAGCTCGTCTGCTTTTTCATTACCCCACAATCCGATGTGTGCAGCTGGGTCCCGGTCATGGCATGGACATGACTTTATTACACAAAATGGAACTTAAATATGAGCGCCATTTGCTCTCGGGGATCCCGATTAACGGGTAATCCCGGGAAATTCCCGGTTTTCGGGAATCCCGATTTTATTTCCCGATTTTCGGGAACCCGGGATTTTTTTGCTCGGGATTCCCGAATCCCGGGATTAATTATTTTGATCGGGATTGACTTCACTAATAAATACCCAATACAAGGACTTAAATATTCAAATTAAGCTCTTAATATTGAATGTAAAATAAAGATAATGAGTGTCAAGAACTTTTTTAAAACTACAATTAATGTACATACTTTTTAATCAAACCACAAACGCGATATCAGAAGGGGATGGATCTATCATATCTAGCTATCAAAACTCTAAATTACTAAATTTCAGTCTAATTATAAATTTATCAAATGGTCCCTATCATACATATACTTATAGCCTCTTTTCTAAAAGCATGCAACCTTCATGAGCAATGTATGAACATTCTAATTATAATTAAATATCTTTTTAAAGCTTTAAAGATCTTAATAGATCTTTCCTGATTTCTAAAAGTTAAACTAAATCAAAAGGTCCCTAAAAGATGCAAATATGTTTTGTTCCCCTCTATAAGTATACAATTTTTGAGATTAGAGTAGACAGTAGGCAGAAACAAGGATTGCTTGAATAACTGAAACTTTACTGTAGAAACCTACTGCTCCGGAGCCACCATCATCCATTTTAATGTCTGAAAATAAAACGAGTTTTAATTTCAATAACGGGTACAAAATTCGAATATAACAATATAATATAATAAACGAGCTCTCGAATATAACAAATCGTTTCACTAAGAGTTAAATAGTATAAAGAAGCTGACCTGTGCAGTCAGTAGCTGCAGTGCCCTTGCCGGCTCGCACCGCTGTACCATCAGGGCACACAGTGCAGTGTCTGGCTCCGGGCTCTGCGTAGCTGTCACACGGGCAGGGGTGACAGAAGAGAGCATCGTCTCCCTGACTGTAGTGACCCGCCGAGCACATCTCACACCGCCCTGCTTCGTCTTGGTAGTAACCACCCGGACAGGGAGCTGAACGACATTGGTGCAGGGAAAAGTGGTACATTTTAGCTTGCTGTTATTGATTTTAACAGCAAATAAAAGTTCTCATGGGCGCTAATTATTTAGTTAAAATAACATTTATATAGCGTCAATTCGGATTTTAGCGTTACCCGGTTACCAGAGAATTGTTGTATAGAAACTTACCCCAGTAAGTGCAATTACTTTCGTTAAAGCCGACCCCTGAAGGAACCATTGCTCCAGGGGGACAGGGATTACAGGAGTTAGAGTAGCCTCCCTCACTGTAGTGATCAGCATTGCAATCCAAACACACACTTATTCTATCGCTCAGGTAGGTGCCAACTGGGCATGCTGAGGAGAAACACTTGTAGTAAATCATTATTAAACTGCTAATAGTAGTGATAGTAATCATTATTACTACTTGCAGTAATCATTATTGAGATATTCTTGCTCGCTGTTTAATATCCTTTATATGGTCTGTAAATTGGCAGCTAGGAAATCTTAAATTCTAAAGTTAACTAAGTTGCGGCTCATACCTTTTACAAGTCTATACTCCATAGTGAAGTAATCTTCCAAACTAAGCCCGGGAGCTACAAATTTAGTGTCAGTTACCTTCACTGCCAGCTTCCGAATCTTATCCAAACTTCGTTTCCATGACAACCAGGTATCCGACCCATCATCAGCTTCTTCACACCCCTCCTTAAAGGAGCCTCTCACTTTTCCATTGTTCAGTTCCACCGTGTAGTCCGAATTGAGGTCGATACTTGCCCAGGAAGGAATAACTAACATGTCAGGGTTCTCCTCGATACATTCGGAGAAATCCTCAGCAACGTGGAGGAAACACGCCGCTCTTGTGACCGGGCTTAGTGTGCCAGTCAAAGTTAACGGACGACACGAAACTGCTCCTCTTCTCCTCTTCAAAGAACTCGTACTGAACCCCAAACTGCCCCATATCTTCCACCTCTCTTAGTTGGGTTAGTCTCATGTGTATTCTGGTGTCCAGGGGGTTAAAGTCCACATACGGGGTACTGTGAGAGTGATCACCTGCCTCTAGTTTAAATTCCTCCCAACCCGTCTCAACCCAACCTGTACAAACATGGAGTTAGAAAAATGTATTTCTTTCTAAAGACATACCTTCTCTGACGTTATTTGACAGGACATTAAAATGAACACTTGAAGGCATTATAAAACTATTAGCAATCCGAAAGCAGTCGTTAAGCAGTAAAAATGTTGATATAATTTAGTCCGATGATAGAAATTGGAATTGACCGAAGTTAAAAAGTATTCATACGGACTTTGACTTGGACAGACTTTATTTGAACGAGAATTAAAATGAACGCTTGAGCCTCCAGCTTCAAATTAATGTCCGTTCAAATAAAGTCTGATAATGTAGCTTATTTAGACTGGTTTTAGCTGATAAAAAGTTTGAATTGAAATACAACTGAAACTAGTTTTAGGAATATTGTGAGAAGAAGACTGAGTGTTATTGAATAGTTTTTATATTCTTTTTTTATAAAACTTGTTCCTGAAAACTTACTGTGGGCAGTAGAGACGATGGCCGCAAACAAAATTAAAGTTTTCATCTTGTTCTTCTGAGGGCTTACCATGAACAAGTGCCTGTACTACTACTGTAAATTATTAGGTAGGATTAATGATTTCATAAAAAACTCGTTAGTTTCAGAACAAAAGGCAATAAAAAGAACCAAGAACCGACAAACAATTCTACAAGCTAGCAGGTGCGAAAAATACCTAATCAAAACCGTAAACGTAATCCAAGGAAGGCCAAATAACTGAATTCAAGATTGAGGAAATGCACAATGTCAACGGTGTGTTTGCTGTTTACTTACGAGGACGTGATTGTAAAGACAGGTACCGCAAAATCCAGCAAATTCGGAGAAAGGGAAATCGAATAATGTACATTCTTCTACCTTACACCTTGGTTAAGTGTGGTGAAAACTAGGTAGTAAAAACACGATTAAGTTATAGAGTGTAATGTGACGTCATTAAACCTGGTATGTGATTAAACCCTGGTATGTGATTAAGGGGGGGGGGGGGGGGGGGGGGGGGGGGGGGGGGGGAGGGGTTCACCCTGATTTTTTGTGGAATTTGATTTCGAGATAGCAATTTACCAACAAACTAGGGCCTGTGACCGAAATTTTGAGGGGGTTCCGGACTCCGGGTGCCCACCGGTCCCAATTATGCCAAATTATCTTAAAATACTCAAAAATCCATATTTTAGGTACTCTACTTGTAGATAGTGGTACCCTGAACTCGTCTATGGATTGCCATCATCACCAAAATATGGACATACGCACCAAATTTGATCGATACTGGCCCATAAATTGGTCAAATATCCATATTTTTGAATGAAACCAACTTTATATAAAAGGTTATCCTAAACTACACAGTCTCTATGATTATCAACACAATATCTAGCTAACTGTGGATTCGGTGTTCAAATAATCGCAAAAAATGAACAAAAAATCGCCCATATCTCAGTTCGCGATATTTGCAAAACTGATTTCGCTCAAAACGACAAAACAATGAGTTTCAATATATTTTCATGAAATTTTCGGAATTAACGTGGAATTAAGTTTTGGAGTGGAATTTTGAGTTTGTTCAAAAGGAAGCATTTTAGGGTGTTTGTTGTTCATAACTTATATATAAATGTGCTAGTTCCGGTTATTTTGCACCCTTCCAAAAGTCTTTAGCACATTCCTATCGAAATTTTAGAAAAATCTGTAAATATGAAAAACGAAAAATGTGCCTAAATTTGTTGTTTGGCTTTGAGGTGCAAAAGATAAACTTTCCAGTTGAATAAACACATTACATTTTTGAGGGCAGTGTTCTCGAAATCAAATTTTTTGGGTTGGAATCGGTGCGCTAGATGGTCACTGAACTTTCTGTGAGGTCACTTGGGTTGGCTGACACAAACCCCTGTTTTGGTGTATACCCCCTTAAACCCTGGCGTGTGATTAAACCCTAGTGTGTGAATAAACCCTAGTGTGTGATTAAACCCTGGTATGTGATTAAACCCTGGTGTGTGATTAAACCCTGGCGTGTGATTAAACCCTGGTGTGTGAATAAACCCTGGTGTGTGAATAAACTCAGGTGTGTGATTAAACCCTGGTGTGTGATTAAACCCTGGTGTGTGAATAAACCCTGGTGTGCGAATAAACCTTGGTGTGTGATTAAACCCTGGTGTGTGATTAAACCCTAGTGTGTGATTAAACCCTGGTGTGTGAATAAACCCTGGTGTGTGATTAAACCCTGGTGTGTGATTAAACCTTGGTGTGTGAATAAACCCTGGTGTGTGATTAAACCCTGGTGTGTGAATAAACCCTGGTGTGTGATTAACCCTGTTGTGTGATTAAACCCTGGTGTGTGATTAAACCCAGGTGCGTGATTCCCTCCTTCCCTCTCTTTTTAACAAACTGCTATTTACAAAGAAAACAAAGAAGTTTCAAACGTTTTTTATCATAAGCACGGAGAGAAAAGAATATATTTGTCTAGTAGATACGAACAAGTATTTCTATCTGTATCCAAACTTTTTGGTAGGTAGAATTTCATCAATCATATAATTAGATAAAAGGTAAATTCAGTTATTGCAAAGTCCGAGAGTTTATATTCACTTTACCAGTTTACAGTCTACAGAAGAATAGCTTAGGAGATGGACCCAAAACTAGCATGTAAAGTTTCTGTATCAGAGGTTATCTACTTATCTATTCCGTGTGTGGGGGTCGTTAAATCCACTAAAGCTGACACCACCACACTCTTCCTCTTTTCTCTCTCCATTGAATTGACCAGCTTCTTTTCCTTTTCCTTTTCAATAACACTCTGTCTCTTCTCGTCAGCCTCTATGTAACTGTGAATAGCGTTACTCAGCGTCCCCTCAGCGTCTATTAGATCATCCTTCTTCAGCAGGACCACTAGTTTAGGGAAGAAGATGCAGAAGAGGAAGCACTGGGAGATGCAAAAGTAGACGATAGCTCTCAGCAAAGACTTGATAGAGGGTTCCGAGATGGAGTAGCCACTGAGGAACATGAGACAGACAACCACGATAACTAGAGAGGTGGTGAAGATGGTGGTGGTTTCCTTGAAGTTGTGAGGGAACAGCCTCATTTTGTAAGCTATCAGTAGGGTGGCAGCCAACATCACACACGGCACAATGAAGGGGTAGCAGGTAGCCAGGAAGTTTGCGGAGTTGCACACTTTGTGGATACTGATATGAGGATCTAACGCTTCCTCGTAAACCCAACCCTGGTGCATTATAGAGACCATGGTCAGCAGAGCAGTCGCTCCTATCATTATCGCCAGGATGATATACTGAGCAGGTCGAGTCAGGAACTTGAAGATGAATGGACGTTTGAGCTGAAAGTTAATAGCCGTCATGAAGATCTTGTAGATCTTGAGAGAGCGGTAGAAGAGGTTAGTGCAGACACAGCAGACGAAAAGAGAACAGAAGTAGAATTCCAGGTTGCATGTAGAAGGGGAAGGTTCGAGAAGAGTAAGCACTGTGAGGATGTCGCCTACACAGAGCGAGGACAGGAACAAGTAGCAGAAAACAGGATCAGATGCCTTTATCACGGGTCTGTTTCTGTTGACCGCAATGAAAATAGCTATGAAGATTGTTATGAGTCCAGCCGCCCCACTTAAAAACAACCCTATCAGGAACGGTGGAGACCTTAAGGAGATGAAGTTTTCGGGGACCTCTTCACAAGTAGTTTTATTTTTCACAGCGTGCTGAGTTTGTTTACATTCTGTACACTCGTTAGAGTTAACAAGTGAAGATACAGAGTCACCAGTACACCGGGGACAGGTCCAGCACTTACCGAGCCCTGGAGAGTATGACATCAAGGAGGTGTGACTCCCTGGGGGGCAGTCCTCCGAGCAGGCATCAGCTCCTCCTATATCTTTAACGTGGTATTTAAGAGTGTCATCCATACCTCCCTGGTTGTGGAACAGCACCTTTCCTCTCATCACTTCGGAACTGTTGCGATATTCTAAAACTTGATATCCCATTGCCAATGTGCTTTTGTTGAATGTGATATCTTTTAAAGATTGTCCGTATATCTGCACCTGCTGTGTTCCAGACTCCAAAGTTGCAAAGAGATGACTCCTCAGATCGTTAATGTCCATATCTCTACCTTTACTCTGCAATACTGTTTGTACGTTATTCTTAAGGAGCAAAGTAGCTGTGGCTACAAAGCTCATCCAACTAGTTGGTAATCTGGTGTTCGTACAGGCCTCCATCAGACTCTCTGTTGGACGGGAGAAGTTGCACGCCTTGCTGTGGTGATAATCCTGGGATAATCTATCATCAGCCGCCTCAGCTCGGTCGTACAGCAGTCCTCCTTTTATTGTCATCCAGTCCCGGTTCGCGTTCTGCACTACAGATCTCAAGTAGATGAAAACCTCATTATCCACATTTAGCCCTCCTGTTAGGATCTCCTTCTGACTGGTTCTAAACTGGTCTCGGGATATGGTGTAGCCAAATATGTACGTCTTGTTTCTCCATTTTCTATTCAGGATTGTCTCGTTTAGGAACGGAATAGCGTGATATTTGTTTCCATTAAAAAGCATCAGCTGTATTGGGGCTGGAGGAACTGAAATTATACGAGATTGTTAATGAATTATCACGTGGGACTACCAGTATCCAACAATGTGTAGCAAGTATCTTATCATTAGTCGGTACTGTATTGTACAGTGGGGTGCCATATTTTACACTTTTAGATAAATACGTACCTTCACCGTAAGAATCGTATTCTTGAAACTCGTCCACTATTCCGCCTTCTCCTTTTCCGTACAACTCGATTAGCCTCCCACCTCCAGCCTGAGGCTTTATTTATTAGTTCCTTGTTATATTTTTAATATTTCATTCAAGATTTGTCATACAGTTACAAGAGTTGCCGGCTGCCGCACAGTTCCACTTGTTACAGGTTACTACTACAGTTACACTTGTTACAGATCACAGGATCACTACTACAGTTACACTTGTTACAGATCACTACTACAGTTACACTTGTTACAGATCACTACTACAGTTACACTTATTACAGATCACTACTACAGTTACACTTGTTACAGGTTACTACTACAGTTACACTTGTTACAGGTCACTACTATAACAGTTTTACTTGTTACAGGTCACCTGGTCACTACTACATAGTCGGCACTTCCTTGAAACAAACAACATCACAACAAGTATGGTACCTTGGAGACATAGTTGTCGTAAACATAGTGAGCAGCTGTTTCAGAGAGCGGATTGTACCAGACATCAACATATTGAGCGTTCAGGAACTTCAGGAGGTTTATAACACTCATCGCCTCCATTTCTTCGGTCTCCAACAGAGAAAGGTATGTGGGGTATTGTTCCTGTGTGGGATATTGGGGTATTGTGGAGTTTTGTGGGGTATTATGGGGTATTGTGGGGTATTATGGGGTATTATGGGGTATTATGGGGGTATTGTGGGGGTATTGTGGAGTTTTGTGGGGGTATTGAGGGGGTATTGTGAGGTTTTGTGGGGTATTCCGTGGGAAAATAATTATTTGGGAGATGCTCAGTCAGGGCTTATTTTATAAATGACCTTTTTAAGAAAAGCGTCCTCCGAGTAAATATATCCGATTGTAGGAATAAAAAATGAGGTGGGAGGTCCTATAGATGGCATTACTCCGGCTTTCTGATCAGAAGCAAGGAGACCAATAACTTTCTCGTTTAGAGCGACTTTGCTGCTGATCCTTTGGTCGAGGTATGGTTCATCGCACCTGGGCATTATCAAAGTTTTAGGTACAACCAACAACAACATATTTACTTTTAGGTTCATATACTGCAAGTACAACCAGCAACAACAGATATACAAACCCCGAATAGATCTCGTATCCAATGGTGTAGTTGTCCACAGCTGTGAAGTTCCGCATCAAGTCTTGGAAAACGAGCGCTTTTTCTAATGAGTAGACACTCCTAGAAGTCAAAACACACTCATCATTCTCCCTGGAATATAACAATAGTAGACACTCTTAGGAAGTTAGGAGTCGACATGCACTATCATTCTCTTTGGAATATAACTGATACTGATACTGATAATGATACTGATACTGTTACCGATACCGATACCAATACCAATACCAATACCAATACCAATACCAATACCAATACCAATACCAATACCAATACCAATACCAATACCAATACCAATACCAATACCAATACCAATACCAATACCAATACCAATACCAATACCAATACCAATACCAATACCAATACCAATACCAATACCAATACCAATACCAATACCAATACCAATACCAATACCAATACCAATACCAATACCAATACCAATACCAATACCAATACCAATACCAATACCAATACCAATACCAATACCAATACCAATACCAATACCAATACCAATACCAATACCAATACCAATACCAATACCAATACCAATACCAATACCAATACCAATACCAATACCAATACCAATACCAATACCAATACCAATACCAATACCAATACCAATACCAATACCAATACCAATACCAATACCAATACCAATACCAATACCAATACCAATACCAATACCAATACCAATACCAATACCAATACCAATACCAATACCAATACCAATACCAATACCAATACCAATACCAATACCAATACCAATACCAATACCAATACTGCTAATATTCTATCTAAGAGGCGGTTAAAACTTACAAAGTTCCGATTTCAAATATCCCAACGATGAGGAAATCTCCGTCTTCTCTAACCAAGGGCTCAGTAAGAGATTCGTAGTTAATTTTGCAGAGGACAGAGGAAGAGAAGAACCCCACGACTAGAAGCAGAAGAGCTTTCATAACGCCGCACAATAAACAACGCCGCACAATAAACGTGCAACCAATGGTTTAGATAGCCCAATATATTATGCTTTATTCATTGGAAAATTCTATTCTTATAGTCAATAAACACATTATTCTTCAAAACAAAGACAGTACTAATAAAGACGTACGTTAATATATCGATCACAAAAGTTAAATATAGAATAGTTAATACAAAAACAATACATTTGACGACCTGACATAATAAAACTTTTGTCTCAGAAGGTCTGGGGAACAAAGAGGTAATAAATAAGTGCTCTTCACGTGACACAAAGGATTTAAAGAACACTAATGTGATCAGAGAAATGATTCGTTGAAAGTGGACATCAATTTGGTGATACAGACTACAGTGTATCAATAATGACAATAATATGGTATAATGACAATTCAATAGGTGATGATACTGATGAACAGTTGAATTATAGTGAACAGCAATAGATTTGTGTTACTACTTCTAGTACTACTAAGGATATACTGATATAGATATATTATTGAGATTATTAGTATAGATAGTAATACAGTATAGTTTAATTTTATCACAGACATGAGTCAACTGATTAAAAACAATAAAAAGTTGGAGGTATACAAAAATAAGGCGATTCAGAGAATAATTATGATGATTAATCACTCTACACTCGATTTTAAACACTCTCTCCAGATGGCCCTGAGGGAATATTCAAAACCCTATTCTGACCCCATACCTAACCCTTACCCAATCCTTAACTGAAGAATATTGTAAAACTCTAGTTCCAAACCCTAACGAGAAATTAAGCCAACTAACTTAAATGGTCATGTCAAGTGATCAGAACATTTTTTCGCCGATAACTCGCCAGGGGATTTTAACCATGTATCATCAATCATTGATCATCAATAAATTCTTTGACAGACAGGACAGCGAGATACTTCGTCATCATAGTTCTTTGTTTGCTTACGGATCTGCCACAAGGTTTCTCAGTAGACCAATCAGATAGTTGTTACTGTAGATAGGTTCCGACAACAAGAGTGCCGCAGCACTCTTGTTGGGGTGCCGTGGTGCGTGGGGTGATACGGAATCAACGTTCAAAAGTTCAAGTGTAGAGTGATTTAGAACACTATATTAATTTGTTGTGAAAAGGCCCTAAGAGTATGAAAATTGAAAGTAATCCAAATCGGTATATTTTTGGAGGCTGATTCCGAATCACCCCTATGAGTATGACATAGGGTTAAAATTTTCACCTGGCAAGATATCTCGATCACATGATATAACCTTTTAGGACGTGCGCCGGCCTTCGAGTTGGACTCGTCGACGGTTCTAATATTTGAAAAAATATTTTATTTTACGAGTATCTATATTCTATATTACCCGTTATATTAAAACTCAGCAGTATGGCTCAAATCATCAGGATTGATTTTTGCTGATGACGGGATCAATCTATTCAGCAACCTCACGATTGCCGGCCCGGGACCATACCCATTACCATTGCACCACCAAGCCCTTAATGATGAGGGAATGAAATAGGTACCAGAGTGTTCTACAAAATCAATAATCATTACGAGTTAGGAGCTTTGCCTTTAAGCTAGGTGGTAGATTAATTCATTCCCCCAGCAGAGACCAGAGTTCAAGCTTAGTAAACTAGGCCTAGGCGAGCATAATTTATCACAGTGCTGGCTAGCACGACCGTTGCATTTATTGTGGGTATACTATGTTCCCCATTTACTATTATACCCCCTTTACTATTATACCCCCTTTACTATTATACCCCCTTTGGTACACGTTACAAGCCTCTTTTTTGCACGCGAAGCGTGCACTCCGGCCGGAGGCGGCGGCCGAAGGCCGCCGCCTCCGGCAGGAGTTTTCCAGGCATTAAGACTCATCGGAAGTCGTTAAGCAGAATTATTTTTAGTTCAAAACATTCTAATTTGATGTCAAAGATGACAGGAATAAAAAATAGTTATGTTGAGATTTTTAAGAAATTTGCATAAAATACTCGCCAGCACTGTTATACGAAATTCGGTAAAAAACCCAAAATCGCCATATTCAGGTGCCTTAAAAACCATGTTAAAATTGAGTTAGAGATCTGAAATTTTTCAGGGCGTCTAGACGTTGATCAAATCGACTGCAAAAAAAGTTTCAGGTTTCAGGAGTATCGGGAAATGGGTTTTCTAGAACCCCTGTTTTACGACAGATTGTCGTGATATATATATACTAATACATACATATTCAGGGATAGACGCTTTGCCAGTCAATTGTAGCCTGTATTTAATTGTCCATAGATTCAAAAGTATAAAAGATAAAGCCATTTCCGACCACAGGTCTTGCAAATAATTGTTTACACTTTAGTTTACATTGTATAAAAAAATTATTTGACGTCATAAACACCCCTTGATGACGTCATCAAGTTAACCGTTTTTAAAACTTGATTTTTGACAAAGTAATAACTTTATAATTAATTTTAAACCATTAAGGAGTAATTTTATTCAAAATCTGAGGAGATTTTCACCTTAGATAATTGTTCAAGCATTCTGAAAATCTACCGGAAAGTTTTTCTAGCTTGCTCCTTCATAAAGATATTCGTCATTGAAGTTTGTGCTTTTTTGAAGAATTATTTTATAAAAACGTCAATTTTGCGATTTAGTATTCTCTGGTGTTGGGCCATGCCTTGAGTTGAGGAGCTCAGTTCTGCTTCCTATAGGTATAAATTGTGCATTAGGCTAGTTTTGAAGTTGAAAATCGAAAAGTTGCACACGTGGGGACACGCCCAAATTGATAGAAAATTGCTAAAATCACTGAAAATTGCTGTTTTCGTCATTTTCTGTCAACTTTAGAGTGCCGTTGTGATTACAGTTCTTCTTGAAATACTTTGAAACTTTGCATGCTTATCAAGCTATATATAAAACAATTACATGAAAAAATTTACGGCGATTCAATATTGGATGCGCACGCAACGTCCGCTCAAAGTTTGCACGTGCGAAAGGTGAGAATTTTGCTCATTCGTGATTTCCAACAAATTCTGCTTTGCCACGACAGTTTAATGTCATTATATATGAATTTAATGCCAACTTGAATGAGTATTAGGTGGCATATTCAGTCAGTGATCGACCGATATGCTTACCTAAACACAAGGAAATGTTTTTAAAGGAAAATTTCGAAATCGTTGAAACTTCCTCCTTATTAATTAATGAAGATATCAGTTTATATTTCGACTTTATAAAATACCCTGACATTATAATCAAAAAGAGATGATATTTTACCAAAACCCATATTCATGGGTAGAGTGGACCGCTGCCAGTGTCTCTCTTTCCCAAACAAAAGGAAATGATATTAATTTGATTGACCGTTCTCAAATGCAAAATGATACCGAGAATGAAATCGGTCGCTCGCTTTTCCCATTCATTTACAATTGTAATAGATTAAGAAGATCTACCCAAAGGCAGCTGTACTCGGCAATAAAGATTCAATAAACTTCAGCTAATTCAATAAGCAATAACTACTACCCTTACCCCGAAATACTAGGTATCGATCCGAACGCAACCCAAAGAGATTTTTACAGCATCTGACTGATGTAATCAATCGAAACTTATTACAATTCGTAAGCCGTGAATGAATGGAAAAAGCGAGCGACCGATTTCATTCTCGGTATCATTTTGCATTTGAGAACGGTCAATCAAATTAATATCATTTCCTTTTGTTTGGGAAAGAGAGACACTGGCAGCGGTCCACTCTACCCATGAATATGGGTTTTGGTAAAATATATGTATATAAATAGTTCATAGTTGCTGCTTGGTTTCCCAAAGAAAGTGCTCGACTACAGTTTTATTGTGTACTGGGCGGTGCTCAGCCTGTCATTCCGCCGAAACTTTATTGTTTATGAACATAATAGCCTGGGTGCTGAGCCGTCCCCAGGTAAAGCTACAGCATACAGTTAAGCAAGAGCATATATACATATTAAAACATATAATTATATGTCATGTAACAGACAAAGTGTGATACTCGCAAAATATTTGTTTCAAATATTGAAACCGTCGATGAGTCCAACTTTTGTATTACGTTGTGACCCCCCCCTGCCCACGGTCGTTTCACTATAGTGGAGCCACGCACTCGTGCGCGGCGGGTCATACAACGTATGATCACAATCCAACTCAGTGTTGTCAAATGTTATATGACCCGCCGGGCCGCGCACGAGTGCGCGGCTCCCCCTGTATCGTAATAACGATAAAATGAAACGACCGTGGGAGTCACGACGTGATACAAACTCAGCGCGCGTCTTGGAAAGTTATAAACCTACTTCACATAGCCATGTGCCTACGCGTACTGCGTGACGCGCTTGTTTCACAAGTAGGATAGCCTCTTTTGCCGCCTACGGCGGTCGCGCGCTACTGCAAGCGAGAGGGCTCTGATTAGAGCAATAAACCTACAAACAAAGTGCTACGAGTAAAGGTACGTAGCGCGCGCCAGGTCAGTTCACATTATTTAACAATTATAATTAAATTAATTCTACATTTTAGGAAATAAAAATGATTTCATTTTATCATTCATGTAAAATGTCAAATGTATTTAACCTGATAATTTCAAATAACAAATAACCTTCCATGCATTAATTGATTCTTGTCGCGAGACCACTATAAGATTTTGATTCGCTTCTGTGTTCTGTGCGGTGGGCTGCAAAGTTAAGCGGTTGCGTTTTTATAACCCTTTTCATATTTAAGAATCTTCATGTCCCACTGCAACATACTTAATATATTATAGCAGCCAGCAAAACAATAATTGAAATCAGCTAAGCTGAAGTTTTTAAATTTATAAGAGATTATCATGGTTTAATTCTGTTTGATAAGTATGCGAGTGATGTACATCTCTACTTAACTATATTACTGTCGTTGAGGCTTGAACAAAGAGGTGATAATTTTAAAGAAGCTTGTTTTAAAAAACTATTCTTCAGCTGTGCGATGCATTGCCAACCTGTGTCAGACACACATGCACAGAGAAAATCCTCAATTCTCAAAACAGAGCTAACTGAATTTCTGTGGTTTTGTGACATATGTTTGTCT